GCAAATTTGACAGTACCCTTTCCTAGTACTTTACTTTCACAATTTCCTACAGCTAAAGACATATGTATATCGTTTTTTCTTCGAAATTTGTCATTAAATTTCTATTATTACAGAAATGAGTTGTAGCTGCAGTATCTACGACCCATTAAATTTATCTGCGTTACCTCCTCCTTTAATCTGTAGTTGTTACATAATTTTTCTACTAACATTAATTATTTTATCTTTAAACTGTGTCCATTTTTATCGTCTATTTTAAACTTCTGATTTTTACTTACATTTTCTTTACATTGAGCAATTAAGTTGCCCAAATTTATGACATCTGAAACAAGGTCCTATTCTCATATTCCCCATTTTTTTTTTTTTTTTCGTAGATTTAGTTTTTATTTTCAACTTTATCTTTCCCTGCGTTTAAACTAATAGTATTAAACACGCTTACCTTGCTGTCTTCTAAATCGGCGTTTTACCTGGCGAAGTCGGCTTTCTTTCTTCCCTTACCAGCTCTTCAGCAATTCTTTCCAGCGTAAAATCTTTTGTCCTTCCACCTATAGATCAATTGTACAATGCCAAAATATTCCGTGGGTAATCTCCTTATTGCCTGAAATCCTTTAAAAAAGATCTGGCCAAGTTTGACCAGCTTCAGCCAACTTCTTTGCAGTCATTCTTATCCTTGCGATGAATAATCCTATTTCTTCATTTGGCGTATATCTAATACTAAAAAATTCATCCAGTAACTGAATTATCCTTGCTCTGTTTTGTTTGAGTTCAAATTGCTTCTGTAGAACTTCCCACGCTTCTTTTTTTACCACTTGAACATTTTGTATCAGCGGCCTGAACTCAGCTTTAATTCCATTATATATGTGTAGTGAAGGCTCGGTTTTTCTCTTCATTGTGAACTCCTGCTTTTCACGCCTTGTTGCACTTTTATCTAATTCTTCTTTGTCCTCTATGAAGCTCCAACAATTTCTATCCAGTAACAGCATTTTCATGTCGACTTTCCATCGATCCCAGTTTGTCATGGTTTTAAACAACTCAAACCTTCAGGTAGTAATGACATCTTGAATTAAGTGTGAGCACAACGACTTGAACAAACTTCTAAGACAGGTCAGCTTCTTTTCGTGGATAACGGCCCTCTTCACCTACATTTCTTCAATGCTGAGTTGAACTGAATGACTGATTAGCTGTTAGCGCTGGGCCCATAACCCTGTTGGTAGTGGTGATAATGTCAAAGCATTTTTTTTTTTTTTTTGCTTCCCTTAAATAAAGCTAAGACTAAACTAAATAAAATTCATGCTTTATTCCATAAATAAAATAAAAGAGCTAACACTGTAGCCTTTACATTTAAAATCATTTAATGAAAGCAAAACTAGCATAATGCTAACTGATAATCACACAAGAGAACAAGAACCAGCTTCGCCGATACCGGCGTACATATATATTGTACTAACCCCGATCTTGACTCATCGCCAATCAGCGGCAACCGTTAGCTTACCGCCGATCGACCTCCTATCAAAATTTGCATGTGGAAAACTAAAGCCATTACATTCTATGTATTTACTTAATTTGTGGTACCAAAATCCTTAAGATTAAAATTATTAACTGAATCTCATGAAAAATTTGGACACCCAGGTATTCATGCTATGTTAAATTTAATCACCCCACAATATTATTAGCCCTACATTAGTAAAGATATTGGAAATTTCGTAAAACATTGCCATGGTTTGTCAAATTAATAAAAAGAAAAAAACCCAAAAAATTTGGACTTGCAGTGCAACTACAGAAACTTATGCTAATATTTTGAAACAAATTTTCCACATTCAAGTCTCCGAAAAAATCCTTATTGACCGCAATGCTGCATTCACTTGCAATAGATTCAAAAAATTTCTTAGAAATTATAATGGAAAACAACTTCTAACTACTGCCTATCACCTCCAGACAAATGGTAAAGTAGAGCATGTGAACCAAACCCTAGTAACCCGTTTAAGATGTAAAGTAAATTCTACATCATCGAAAATTCCATGGGCGAAAATTTTGGATCAAGTTATTAGTGGAATATAATAATTCCCCTCATTCGGTAACTAAATTCACCCCTGCATATCTTTTACTCGGAAAACTTCCTTTCGATTCTTCCCTAGATCAAAATACTTACCCTCCGGTTGACATAGCGAGAAAATTAGCTAAAGAGAGAACTATTGAATATCATAAAAGGAATAAAAGTCGTTATGACACAAATTTGCAGATGTAGATTTTCAACCTGGTGATCTAGTTTTATTTGATGAATTTGAATTTCCGAATACACGTAAATTGACACCTTCCTATTCTGGACCATACCAAATTGTCAAAAAATTATCTGAGGTTAATTATGAAATTGATAAAAAGAATTACCACACAAAGAAACCTACTGATATTGTCCATGTTTCCAGACTACGACACTTACCAAGATCCAGAAAATTTTAAACTACATCACCAATAGGTAGACACACCTTCCTTTTGGTAAATGCTCAACTGGGGTTGCTACTAAAAGTAATTAGAGCACCTCTAATTATTTAATGTCTAATTTTCTGTGTTGTAAATTTTTGATGTGTTGTTTTGTATCTTTGTATTTATTTTGTATTTATGTGTCAATTTTTGGCAATGACATTAATGGTAATTATAAAATACTATTGAAGTTGAAAATTGTGTTGAACGATAATGCAGTATATGGCCTAATTGTCGTTGTCGCTAGTAAAAGGAAAATACGAGTAAAATTATTGTGTAAAATGATTATTATAAAAATAAGTGTTTTATATTAGTCAAAATAAAATACTGTAAACAAATTAAAAGTCAAAAAGAAATGTTAAGAAATCAGTCAAGTATTGCAATTGTCAATGATATGAAGAAAAAATAGAGGAATACCTCACCTCAAATAGAAATTTTTAATATTAAAGCCACGGCGAACTGGAAATGTAAGATTTGTAAAATAAGAACTGCTCTAATGTTTTGCAGCAATCTCTAAAGACCTGGATCTAGAACTGAAACTGTTCTCGAGAAATGTTTTTCCAATAATGCATGCATAATGTTATTTTTTCTTTATTTTCTATAAATGTCAATATATTAAGGTATATTACATATATATATATAAATATATATTTAAGAATAAAAAAATGAATGAAATAAAATTAAATAAGCTAAAACTGTTTAAAAATTGTTAATATTAAAAAAAACTTTTAAAAGATATTAACATTTAAAAATAGAATTTACAAAATTTGCAAAAAATTTAAGTAGTGGATTTTTTTAACCATAAATAAGCACATTTTTATGAAATGAGTCAAATTATTACACATTGTTAGCAGGGAAAAAGTTTTATTAACTAAAAAAGTGTTTGGATTGTATGTTCGATCATCTTATGCATTGGTAAAAAGAGCAGCAAAGAATCCAGCAGAAAAATTACAAACAGGCTTTCAAGCAGCTATGGTACTTATTAATTTCGCTGAGTCTCAAGATTAGAAAAGATTTAACACTCTATGACGGAACAATAGGAACAGAGGAAACTCACGCAGCTATTTTCAGACCTGATTTTTTCAATTTTCCCCATTCTGCTTTCTTCAACCAGTGCAGTTTTGCTGTCTGTTAGTCGTAGTACCTCCTGAAGGTTTATATGTAAGGCTCTTCTCATCGCAACATCGAGAATCCTATTTCTAGAATTCTTGGCCATCATTCCCTAATGTTATGGCAGGAAAGTTATGTCATCTCTCCATGCATTACACGGAGGATGTGGCTTAGCCTAGGCACCTGCTCTGCATGTTCTTCGCACCTGAGCCTTGGATTGTATATAGATGAAAAATATTGAAATAATTTAGTTTTTATATATGTTCATTTTTATTAAATTTCTTAATTCATAATTTCACATCAGAATAGAACATACTAATGAAATTATGGTATATCAGCTAACTCATTTAGTAGCTAATTTGTCAAAGCTTTATTTATCTACTTTTTATGTAAATTAGAACCTCAGTCTTTTAACTGTTAACAAATGTGTGATTTTTTTTATAATTCCTCTGGGGTTGAAACATCTATCAATTGTTTTTATCTCGAAGCTGTAAGTCTGTCAAATAACATATTTCTCAATGATTATTTCGATAGAAAAGTTACTATTATTAAGAATTATTTAATAGGCTATTGATAAATGAAGATGATGTATAAATATTTATTATATTTGTTCAATTTTGATAAATTTATTAATTTATAATTTTATGTTGGAAGTGTATTTATGAACTTATTTTAATTCAACTGACTTGTTTAGCAGCTAGTTCATAACAGCAACCTCAAGAAGAAATTTAATTTTAATTAATTTTTTCCTCCTGTGAATAAAAATTTTAGCTAATCTTTGAGCTTTTCTATTGTAACACCTGCGTGATTGATTTTATTTAATCCCTTTGAGATTGAAGTAAAATGTAAAAATATGTAAATGTTAGTTGAATAGGCAGTGGAGATTTTCCATTCTGACACACCTAGAAAAAGAGACAGAGAATTGCAAACCTAACAGTCAAACATATGGAACTGAAGTGATTAAAACAAATGTAAATTAATGTAATTGTGGTCATAGCTGCCAACTCTCTTCTTTCATTGGCAGAGTTCCGGTTTTTAGTTTTCGATCTTTGCTAAGGACAAAATTAAATTCGCATCTGCCAACTGTCCAGATTTTACCAGGAGACATCCAACTTTTTTAAACCTCCCAGTCTCCTGGTAGATTGCCAAATCTCCCATTTTAATTTTTAGCCTTTGGCAAGGAAAGTGTTTTTCAGTAATAAGTGAAATTTATTTATTGGTTAATGAAATTTTAATACTAATTTTATTCCCTCACACGTAGTGATTTTCAGGATGATTTTTTTAAATAAAATTTTATTTGATATGAATTATTTTAATCTACTGTTTAAATGAAGTTTCAATCAATGTCTGGTCAGTCAATATTAAGCTTTTTTTCCCTGCTTTGTGTTTTTTCAATGTAAGAAAATTACTAAATGAAATGTATAAATCTAATTAAATATTAATGTATTTTACATCAGAACCATATTGCAAACAGTTGAATAACTCAAATCATGTGTTATAAAAGAAATTTAAGCCAGTTTGGAGTTCCTTTGAAATGGTGCCACGATGCCGCATGAAAACTTCTCAGAAACTCCTGGTTTTCCTATTTCAGAGCTGGCAGTTATGGGTGCATCAATTTCTGAAGCAGTCCTCAGTGCAGAGAAGAGTCGACTTAGAAAGTAAATTGGTTACTTTAGCTTTCCTAGGGTTAGCAGCACTCTTTTTAGAATATAAGGGGAAAAATTTAAAGGATTAAAGAGTGAAATTTGTACAATGAATTTTGCTATGTATAATTATATGTAAAATGATATATATATTCTTTTTAATTGCAGCATGGGTTGTGACTCCCCTTGTAACTCTCCAAATAAAGCAAATTCGATGGACATTGTTTCAAGCCCATCAGGGTCTTGTGTTCCTCTGAGTGGTGTGTGTTTATCTGTAACTGCTGGAAACACTGGTTTTGAACATGTAAATCATAACTGTGAGGAAACAGTGCCTTCTCCGCAACATGTTTCAGAGTTGGAATTAAAAGTTTTACAGGCGTGTTTGAAAAGGTGGCGAAAAGAAATTGAAACTAATGTCAAAAGTAAGTATTTAGGGTATGAGGGATGTTCAGAAAGTAAGTTTCATCACTTTTTTATGAAGGAAAATATGGTACACCAGGTGAAACAAATAATTACCATAAGAAGCCGCATTCATTGCTGGTTCAACTAAGGAAGGAGTATCAGCAGAGGAGGAATGACGTGTGCGCAGAGCGCAGTGGAAGAGAGAGTAGCAGCAGACTGGCATGCCCGAGATTATTTGAGTACAAATCATGATGGCAAGTAGACATGTGCTGACATTGTGGTCACCATGTGGGACGTGCATGCTGTCGTCTGGTATGTATGGGCATGTGGGACTAGTATGTGCCTCATCCATGAATGCCTACAGACTATGTATGGTAAAGAGGTCATGTCTTGTCAGATGATTGTTTGCTAGTCCACAAATAAAAAAAAACATTACTAGAGTACAGGATATGGTTGTAGCAAAGAGGTGCTTCAGATGGGGCATATGCACTGCATATTGATTGTGCACCGGCCCATCTCATGCTCCATAATATATTGGTTTACTGAAAAGGTTCTACAAGATGGGTGTCAAAAATTCTGACTCTGGACCACAAGATTGCCAAGAAAGGGAATCAGCCTTGAAATGCGGTATGCACGAGGGAAATGAGTTCTTGTTCAGAATTATCACAGGTGATGAGACATGGGTGCACCACCTTTACCCCAGAAATAAAGGTTGCCTCAGTGACATGGAAGTATCCCAGTTCATCAGTGAGAAAAAATTAAAAGTCACCCTCCCGCAGGAAAGTTTATGGCCATAGTGTTCTGGGATGTGAAAAGTGCAAGTCTCTTTGATTTCCTCCACAATGGAACCATCAATGCAGCATGCAATTGCAACACCCTTGCCAAATTCAGGTCTGCCATTCGACAAAAGAGACCAGGGCTGTTGAATGAAGGTGTCCTCTTGTATGAAAACACAAAACCACACACAACAACACTCACACAAAATCAGATTCGCTGATTTGGAGGGAAGAGATTGGATCATGCAGCCTACAGCCCCGATCTTGCCCCATCAGACTTTCATCTGTTGCCTGCATTGAAAGTCGCACTGTCAGGGCGTCACTTCCAACACAATGCTGAGGTGAGAGCGGGCTGTGCAACATTTCTTTGCATTGCAGGGCTTCGAGTTTTACCTGAGTGGTTTCATTAAATTGATTGCATGCTACGACAAATGTCTCAATGTCGGTAGTGACTGTGTCGAAAAATAGTGCAAGGTATACTGTTCATGATGTTATAATGTATTCTTTTTCTGTATAAAAAAATGATGAAACTTACTTTTGAAATGTCCTATGTATTTGGGTTTTAAAATATTCGCCAACTGTTTTCCCCCTTTTCTTTCAGTCTTAATATATGAAATTGGTAGAAAATTTTAGAAAGTCTTTATAATACAACTCCTGAGTGTCTGAAAATGATCAGCATCCTTGATCAGCAATGGGATTTTTTTTATTGCATTTTGAAAGAAAAAAGTCATGCTATTGAAAAAACTGGAATTATATATTAATATATCCTCAGTTAATATTTTAAGTAACTTTTAATGTAAGGTTAATGATCAGTAATTATCATATACCTGTATGGTTTGTTAAAGAGATTAGAGATTTTGCAAGCAAAATGATCGTATTTTCTCTCTTGTAGGTCTCTTCACACACAAACACGTATTTTTCATATTTTTAGAAAACCAAACATCATCTTTCTTATATTATTTTGTAACAATTTTTTTTTCCTGCCTGCTTGTTGTAAGGTAATATTCATTTCTAGTTTCCAAAATTCTAGTAAAGACTTTAACTTGATCATACAAATTATTTGTCTTAAATTTTAATTTTGTAAGATTTTATATTTTTACAAAAAAAAAAAAAAAACTTTGATACAATGTACAATGCCAAAAACCAGTTACCTTTCATTAGGCAACGGATGTTTTTTGATATTTTGTACCTAGCACCCCCAACTATTAGCAAACTAGTTATGCTGATCTGTTGGAGAGGACATGCCAAAGACTTTATTCAAGACGTTATTGTTTTATGAAATATTACATTATATTATTAGAGATTTATATTGAATTGTTTTCTTAAGGTATTATATCAGAATGTTTTGTATTGAATTTTTAAATTACTTTAAAATATGTCAATGTATTGTTAATTACCTACGATGAGAAGAATGAGCGCATGTTATTGCGTGAACGCATTATGCATAAATTGTGTATCTTCTAAGTTTTATATGAAAAAAAAAAAAAAAAAAAAGTTCCCTGCAAAATTTTTAAACATCTTCTATTCAAAAATTATTATGGAATCATATTCATTGAAAAAAGTGCATAATATTTGTGAGCTTATTTTTATATTGTGGACTTACTGGCATCAAGAGACTTCACCAGTATCTTCATTCAAGGAAAAGGACTTTATGAACTTTTCAATGCACATTTTGAGAAAAATTGAGAACTTTTATTATTATAATTTATTATTCCATATATTATTGTCTTATAGTTTTAAATTTAGTTATAAGTTATATGTTTATTTATAAATCATTGTAAAATTGTATAATTTAAAAACTTTATAATTATATCAGAAAGATCATGATTTATGATAGGACATATGTAAAGCCTGTAAGCTATGTCCTGGATGTTTCTTTGTTTCTTTTCTCATGCTTCTTGCTTCACTAATCTACTAATGCTTTGCTCACCTGGCCTCTTGTTTTTTTTGGGGGGGTGAGGATGTAAAACATAAAAAAATAGGATGGCTTTGCTCTATGTGAACCAGCAACCTTTAATTAACTTTCTGCAATTTAGGATCTTCCCTCTAGACCAGTACTTTCGAGAACATTCCAGCCTATTACACAACCGCTTCTATAAATACAGAATTTGCGCTATTTGGCCTCCGAAGCTCCTCTCTCCCTCTGCTGTTAAATTCTATACTGCTGCACTTCTCATCTTTCTTCCCTTTGTTGGAATAGTTATGACATCAAAAGCCTAGATTTCATTGTATTTAGTTTAAAACACTATTTGATATGTAATTAGGAGAATTTCATTTAAAAGAAAAATTATCGGCCATTTGAATTGAATAAAGATGTGCAATTAAAAGCAAAATCCTTCTGCTGTATTCCACTCAGCCAAACAACACCTGGACTCTGATGCCGAGCTTCGTCAGTCATGTGCCCGACTGCCAAAATATCACATATATATATATTTCTTTATAGTTTCAAAATTGAATTAATTCATATCAGTTAAAATACTTAGGTATTTAATTAAAATTAATTTCATTTTTAGGTAATTTAAATAGATTTCTTTATTTTAAATGCATCAATTTAGTGAGAATTTTGCTTTATTTTTAGTTTTAAAATTTTGTAAATTTTAATTGATGTTTTGTCTGTTGCTTTTGCAATGGTAAATATAGTGCTTTAAATATCTGTTGTCATGAAATATGTTATATGCTCATTAGGCTTTTATTTATTTTTACAGCTTTGCAAGATAATATCAACAATATAGACAATACTATCAAAGAAATTTATAATGATCCATCATTGCAAAAGGTATATTCATCTGTCTTTGAATCTTTAAAATTTTATATATGTAAATATGTTTTGCTGGTTTTCGAAAAAGTGGAGATTTTAAAAATTTATATTTACTAATCATCTTCAGCTTATTTTGTAAATTTAAAAGTAACCATAAAAAATAGTACATTACTAGAAATTCTTAAAAATAGTTAGATTTAGTAATTTTCAAGAACTCCATAGAAATGAAAATTTAAGTATTTAACTGGAAGGGAAATCAGTGGCTTCAAACTAGTGGCTCACAGATCACATTTGGCTCCTGAAAACATTTCAGTTGTGTATTTTCTGTAAATACAGTATTGAAAGATGTCAAGATTTTAGTTATTTGAAATCCAAGTTTATATTATTTTCATTGCCATTAAAATCAAACATGAGTAATGCACTGGTAAATCTGTAAATGGAGCTAAATTAATTTACAATACGATGTAAAACTTATTCAAATATTTAAAAATACAGATTTTATTAAATTTTAGTTGTACTTGTCAAAAAATAAATAAGCTCAGTTATGAATTTTTGTATTAATGATTATCTCTTTGTTGGGAATGTGATATCTTAACAGCTTTTTTCATAGTTGAAAATTAATAATAATAATAAAAAAACCCTCAATCAACATCTACAATCCATAATGAAGATAATTTCTAGTAATTTCTTTCCAAGGCTATAGACTTTATTAAGAAATGAAGGTTATAATTATCTACATACCGATACATGTATTTTTATTTCTGCCTCAAACAAAAATGTGATAAATAAGAGAAAAAGACAATTTAATGCCATTTTTATTTGTTTTCAAGTTTTGTCTGATTTGGTACATTTTCTCTGATAACTTAAGTAGTTTGCGTAATTTGTTCATTTTTTAGTTTAAATTAGTCAGATATTTAATGATTAACTACATTAGAATTATTTGAAAGTAATGTGTATCTGAGAATTAAATATTTAGCTATCAATATATTTGAATTATAAAATGTAACCAACAAAAATGTCTTACAGGTATTGAACTTAATCAGCTAAGTTTTCAGATAAAAAAAGATATTAGTATTAATTTTTTCTTTGTGCTATTATTATTTATGGTTGTTTTAATAAATATTTAGTAAAATTTGTTTTACTAAATATTTATTAAAAATTTGTTTGAAATAATTTTTTTTATTACAAACATTTTTGGTACTTTTCCGTTTCTTCGGCGCAAATCTCGCCAAGCAGACTTTATTGGTGACAACGTACAGTATACACATAAAAAACGCTAACAAATGTTAGTTCTAAGAATTTTTTTATTTTGAATACATAAACATTTTAATATCGTTTAAAATTTTGTAAAAAGGCATTAATTTAAGAATTTACTATGCTTTCACGGTTCAACATCCTTATTCGCTAGTTCATATCACATTATCCCAAGTGATCTCATCTCACGTAAACTACACTACAAAAATCTAATTTTCTCAGTAGTTATCTACATTAATTTCAAGTTAAATCTTAATTTGGAATACAAGTTTAAATGCAAGAATTATTTCAATTTGTATGAATAGCTTACTCGAAAATTATGTAAAACCGCAGTGCTTTACTTCGCTAGTGCATTCTAATTAGAACTGAAGACCCTTGGCTTTGCCTTTTCTATATTTTTGCCTTCGGGTGAGTGGTGTGATTGCATCCTAATTGATTTATTTACCGCGAATGACTTTAGGGCATAAAATTGAACTACCTGGTAAAAATTCTACGTAATTGTATGCCGGTATTGAAAGAAACAATCAATCTGATAAGAAATGGCTGCTACTTGTTTTGATAATGAGGCGTAAAAGGTTACCAGTGAGGATATTCCGTTTGGCATCTGTTTAATTACTGATATTCTGTGGGTTACCTTTATCTTTTATTTGTTTGTCTAGCCAACTGCTCATGCTTTAATCTGTAATAATTTGCAAAGGTTTTTGTTTCCTTTCTTTCTTTTTTATGTGGTTTCTGTTTTGAAAATTTTGAATCATATTTGTTAAATAAGTAATCTTGAAACCTCATGAAAAATTAAGTATCTTTACTGTTGGAGAAAACTGTGATACGTCAATGTGTTGCAGTTATTATAATTTTTAATAATGAACCATTTTGAAAATAATTTTATGTGAATTACTGGGATATTTTTCATTATCACCAATTTTAATAAGCATTACAGTGCAGTTAGATTTTAAACTTTGTTAAAATAATTTTGTTTTATTTATGTATTTATCTTAGAAAATAAATGTTCAAAACTGATAGTCCTTTCAAAATATTTAGCCAGTACAATCTTCAGTTGGTTGGTTCTGTAGTTTGTTGCAGCTACTGGACATGAATTTTAATTGATATTGATTTAATTTTATAAGTCTAAAAAAATATGAACAAGCAACCAACATTTAGGAATAAAAATACTCATAAACGCGAGGCTGAAACATATAGCTTATAGAAAACACTACAGATGAAGAAATTAGCAAAATTTGTTTGGATTATGGAATAAATAAAGCACATCAATGTTAAAAAAAAGTCTTATTTATTTGTAAAGGTTACATAAAAATGAATAAAAGTATGGGAGATGCAATTATAAGATGTCACATAAATTAGCAAAATTATTTAATACAAATTGGAAAGACTGAAATCAATATATCATTTCAGTTTTCCTATAAGTACCGATATATCTGATTTTTATTCTGAAAAATCTATCTGTTTTACAGGAAATATCTGTATGTGAAAAAATTGTTGCAGCTTTCAGTGTTGAAAATTGTTATTCACTTCAGTAGAAGTGGATAAAATGCTGCATATGTCGGTTATCTCAAACTTGTTGCCCCAGAGCAATTTTATTAGCCCTTTAAGTACATTTTCTGCAAATTAGTTTGCATTATTATGGCAAGAATTCGAAAAAAAAAGGTCAAGATTTTCATGATTTTGAGTCCAGTTTTACATTATTTTCATTATGATTAAAAATTAATATGAATAATGCCCCAAGAGAACTACAACTGCATCTAATTCATTTAGACTGTAATATAAATCTTATTCAAAGTTTGAAGATTTGATTACCCCCCCTTTTTTTTTGTATTTGTCAAAACATAAATACCCTCAGTTACAAATTTTTGTTTTAAAAATATTCACTTTGTGTGGAAATACATATCTATATATATGAACAGTTTTTTCCCTCCTCGTGCAACTGAAAATTAATAATTAAAAAAAAAAAAAGAACTAGGTTGATTGATGAGCATCCGTAACTCTTGATACAGATAGTTTCTAATAATTTTCTCTCAAATTTACAAACGTTATTGAAATGAAATGCCATGAGATTTAAGCCCCTTTCACATGCAACGCTCCTTCGCACAGCTGCCGTTTACTATTGTTAATTTTGTAAACTGTACTTTCGCAACTGGTACCTGAACTTTCGTAATGGTTCCTGAAAAATATATGCTTTTTAATTATTATTATTTTGTAAGCTGTTATTTAGTTCACTCTTGGTGTTTGTCGCTATGGTTAAAAGATGGTCATAGATTTTTAAACTGCTTCCCGATAAGATATAGAACTCAAACTTTGTACATACATTGCTTGTGGATGTGGTGTCATGCTTTTGATTTTTAGAGGATTAGATTTTTTTCAAATTTAAAGTTGAAACAACTTTTTTGCAAATATTAACAAATAAACTGAGAATCTCAGAATATTATATTTTGCAGCATAAGACACAGTGGAGGAAAAAAATTAAGCGAAATTTTTTACTGTAATTTTTTTAAAAAATATTTTAGGAGAATTTTTGAAAACCATTCATATTTATAGACTTTTTGATGCCCATTAATTTTAAAATTTCATATCTAAAAATATATTGGTTACGAACTTCCGACATTTTCACAACTTATAAAACAAACTTTTCACATTAAAAAAAAAAAAAAAATGATAAAGGGAATTAAATTGGATGATTTTTTTTCTTTTTTAAAAAATATGCAATGAAGCAGAATGGGAAATACTTGTTCTTCTTGGGCATCAATTTGAAATATCGGTTTTAAAGTAATAATCTCATTATACCACACTATTTTTATGACATTATTTATAAGTTGTTATTGTTGCCAGTTATTAGTTCAGCGTGAGATCGGAGATATTTCTGAGTTGACTTAAGATGCCTTTTGCATTGCATTGTGTTTAACGTTTTTATTAGATTGAAGCATAACTACTGATTGTACTTAGTGATATTCTAAACACTTGTACGAGTATTTGTGTGGAAAATTCCAGAACTTTGAAGTGTTTCTGTTGATAAAATAAATTTAATTAAGCTAACATTGGATTTGAGTGCAATGACAATCATTTACGAACTATTATCAATCTATTACGAACCCGTACGCACGTAACTATATTATAATTAATTAATGTATTAAAATTGTTTTGAATGTGTTTTACAAAACAAAAGTAGGTAAAGAAAAATTCTGCTTGCGTTTTATGATTTTTTTCAATTTTTCTGGCCAGATAAGGTTTGAAAAAAAGGTTTGTAATTTATGTTTGTATTTATCAATTGAATAAATAGCACGAGGTTTGATATATATATATGTGTATTGAAATTTGTTAAGAAAATTTTAAAGAAATTTGAAATGATTTAATGTTTGTTTAGACAGTTTGTATTCTTTAAACTGCAAATGCAAACTGAAAAACCTTTGCATTTTTTTGATAAATCCTTTTACTTAAAGTCCTAAAACATATACAGATATGGACTAAATTATTTATTATTTTATCTAAAATTATGTACTTTATAGAAACAAAGATCGGTTTTGCAAAATACTAAAAAGAAAAATTGTTTGAAATGAAAAGACGAGATCATATATGTTTTAATGATTTTAGATAAAATTGTATTTTTATTTTTTTCTCAGAAATTAATTTAAAAAAATTACTTGCGAAAGCTTTTTTTCAGCTTAAAATTATTTTGTCTTACAAAACCATTTAATAATATTCATAAAAAGTAGATGAAATGCTTAAATTTAAAAAAAAAAAAAAAAAAATCATTAAAAAGGTACCAAGTCTTTTGTCGCGTTGAAGGCGATATGCACTTGTCTTAACTTTAGTTTTAATTTGAATGATATTTCTAGAATACCCGGCATCAGATATCTTGTCTGTATTTGTCTATAATTTCCGCATCTTGGACATTTTTGGGGGATGCTATCACATCCTCAGACTTCTATCAGCGCGATTGTTTCGCTGACAATCCTGCGAGCAGTAACTAAAATTAAGAGAATTGCACGATCGCACAGCATTAGTACAGGAAATCTCTCCATTTGCCCTGCTCCTGAGAGTTAGGAGCATTCTGACAAATTCTACCTCCAATTTGGAGAAGCAGTTAATGCTTGTTTGCCATGTGAATAGGGCACGTTGGAAGAACCGGTTTTCCCCGCCGGTCGAATCTGCTCTTGTGAACGGGGTTTAAGTAGCTGAAAGGTGTAATATGAAGTAAAGAAGTGTACAGTTATTTACATAAAGATATTTTTTTTTCCTGAATGCACCTAAGAAAAATTTAATAAATAAAAGAAATGTAATAGGTTATCATTGTTTATTTTCAGGTTTTGCTTTAATTAGAAAGCCTAATTTTGGTCACTAAACCTAATTTTAGAGGGTGGATTTAGGTTCTAGCTTTATAATTTTTTTATACCTTTTTAGATTATTACTTATACTATCATTTATGTTAAAATTAACGTTTAATAATCTTTTTCCTTTACGTTACATGAAAATGCATTAAAAAATTGCTTATACTTTGAGAAATAATTTTCAGAAAAATAAAAATTGTGGACAAAATACATTCATAAACTTAATTAAAACTAATTTACTATTTTTTAACTAAAATTAATTAAAAAATTCAAGAAATAGCAAAATCTGTCATGGGAAGTGGAAGGCAAGCATTCAGTGAGCTCAGTCTCCGATACAATATCTCTCTCAGAATCACTAGAAATATCACTCTCTACCTTTCTTTAGGAAACGAATCATCACTCTCTCTAACTCTTTAGAAAATGAATCATCACTCTTATCTGTGTCACTAATTGGCTTATTTACCCTATGAGTTAATCCTTCCTGTAATAAAATAGTGCTTGCTTTCCATAATAAACTGAAGTCAAAGCTTTCCTATAGAAAGAGAAGTGTGCAAAATATAAGCAATAAAAGCATAACAGAACACCACGTAGTAACCCTAAAACACCCTATGTAGTAGAAAAAAAGAATAAAAAAGGAGTTTGAAGAGATATTTAGAAACACAAATGTTTATATCTCTTGGTGAGTTAAAGAGCCAAGCTCTGTTTACATTATGCTTTCCCTCCTTCCCTGCAACAGCTGACACCAAAGTTAGACAGAATGTGATCAAACTGAAGATTAGGGCAATTAGATTACAGAATTAAATTAGAAGACAGCTAAAATTATATTCAATTCAAATGTAATGGACATAGAGTGCCATCAAATGGTCTTTAAAAAATTGTTCAGCTGAAAATGCACATATGCATCACCCGTTCCTTAACCTCACTCTGCATAGATGCATGGGTGGGATGCCTGGATCTGAGAGACATTTGTAGGGAATGCATACATGGGATGCCCATCTGTAAAGGGTTTATAATTCATGCTTTTTGAATTTCCTGCAGATGTTGTACATTATATAAAATATCTTTGGCCATTTAAACATTGTGGCCTATGAGATGTGAGCTAGAAATGCCCAATGCATTGTAAACCAAATTAAAATTATAAAATATTAAAATGGATTAGGTTATTGGTAAATTGAGCATTTATTTATATATTTGTTTACCTTTTGCTTCTTTATTTCTTTAGAAGCCATATCGACTGCATGCTGTTTTAGTTCATGAAGGCCAAGCTGCTTCTGGTCATTACTGGGCTTATGTATATTGCCCTAATAGGAGACTTTGGCTCAAGTTTAATGATGTAGCTGTATCTGAAGCAACATGGACTGAACTTCAGAAAGACTCTATGGGTGGTCACCATTATGCATCAGCTTATTGTTTGTTATATGTTGATGAATTAAGGCCAGAACTTTTTGATGGTAATTTATGTATTTTCCTTTAATATGTGTCAAAATATTTTCATACAGTGGTTCACAAAAATGATCGAACATTTTGAATTTTTGTATTCTTTAATGTACATAAAAACTAAAATAAATAAGAGCAAAAAGAAAGACTTTTATTTTGATCATGTATAAATTCGAAATTCCATATCATTTTTTTAATGAGAAAAAATATTCTGACAAAAATAATTGAACACTTTTAGTAACAGCCAAAAATGACAAAAGCATACATTGTTTTTTGTTTTTTAATATTTTGTGGGATTACCTTTACACCTGATCACTTTAAACTTTTGGGTATTGACGCCACAACTTTTTTTTTTCCCCCCTTAAACTTTTGAACTTATATAATGTCACTCCTCTTGAATCACTGCTTTCAGTTGCTGCTGCGAAGATATACTCTGTTTTCGAATTTTCGATTCCACTTCCTGCCGAATATGTGTAATAGGATTAAGATCTAGTGATAGAGGTGGTGCTTAATTACCTCTGAACATTTATACAACAGCCAGAGTCTAACACTGGGCTCAATATGCTTTGGATCATTGTCTTGGTAGAATTTAAAAACTATTTTGTGTATTAATTTTTTGTGCTGACGAAGCCAAATTTTGCTGTATGATGTCAAGGTAATTGTACTGATCCATAATAACATCTATAAACTCTATATTACCAACACCGGAATGTGCCTTAGATTTCCATACCATAACTTCATTTCCGCTGTCTTTAACAGTTCATACCAAGTTTTCCTTCCAAAATTCTTCTTTGGGATTTCTCCACACCATCACTTGTCCATCTGAGCCGAAGATGTTAAATTTGCTTTCATCAGCAAACAGCAATTCCCCCCCCCCCCAGTAGTCGAGGTGTCTTTTGTTTCATCAATTTTGCAAAAGCGAGTCAAAATTTTTGGGATTTTTTAACAGACTTAAAATTTTCTTCTTGCTACTCGCCCACGATATCCTGCAGATTGCATTGCTGTTCTTACAATTTCTGGATTTACACATAATTCCATATAATGCATAAAGTTTTGCAACAAGTTAAGGAGCACTCAATCTTGGAGATTGTGTATGTTATAACACTTAACGATACCAAAAACTGTAAAAACACTTGAGTTAAGTTTTTTTTTTTTAAATAGGCAATTTTTCTAATAGGTTTCCCTTTCTTTTAATGCAAATCAATAACTAATCTGCGGGTTTCTAATTATGTTTCCTTTTGCAATCGAGCCATTGCAAGGAAACATTAAAATAACGAATGTTTTTTGAAAAGAAAATTCGAATTATAAAAGCAAACATTTTTTAGATTTTTTCCTAGCTTCTTTATCATTCTAATGATGTTTACTTTCTTGACTGAGCCATTGCAAGAAAACCATAAAATAACGAGCATTTTCTAAAAATAAAATTTGAATTATATAAGCAAACATTTTTTTTTTATTTTGCCTAGCTTCTTTATCAAACCAATTAAATAAAAGTTTGGTTTTTATTTGTTGCAGAAATTTTAATTAGAAATTGGGAAAGTGTCCAATTAATTTTGTGTTATCTCTTTTTTTTTCCTTCATTTCAGCCTAAAATGTTGTTTATTTTTTCAAATTTATTTAGTCCAAAGAGAGAGCTCAGATAATATGTATTCAAAGAGAAAATATTCTTTATTATTTTATTTCAAAGCTTTTCTCCCGTTACTTAGCAAAATTAAAATATTATAGTAGTTGGTAATTTTTGTGAGACATTTTATGTATGAAAGTTTGTCTTATTTTTTAAATACCATTTTAATATTTTCACTGAATTCAAATTTCAAATCGATATATCGTTAATTTATAGCAGATTATGTAACTAATTATTATGGAGCTTCCGTTCACCTGGAAAGTCAAAGAAATTAAAAGATGATCAAAGAAAGTCAATTAATTCAAAAATCAATCCTCGATTAAGAAAATCAATCCTTTTTTTTTGAAAAGGTCAGGGAAGTTTTTTTAAAAAAATAAATCCTCTCAAATGAAATTAATCCTGAGATCAGTCCTCTCAAATTATAAAATGTTCATGTTCTAAAATATATGCTACAAATAAAAAAGCTGAATGAAACTGTGGGTGAAATTCTACGACAAATTAGGATGAAACAATTAAGATAACTTGTATGTGAGAAATCATGTTCTGAGAATCTGTGCTTGGCAAGGGTATACTGTAATAAAATTGATAAAAATCCCAGAACAATGAATCATTAACTTGAAAATGGTGGAAATTATGCATGAGAAGCAATGGGCTTCTGCAATAATGCTTTTTAAGCATCTCATGGTATTCATATGTAATGGATGTGGGCGTCTGTTATGTGTTTGTTGGCTTTAAAAATTATGCTATTTTATATATATATATATATATATATATGGTTAAAAGGTTAGGCTTATGAAATTCCTTCTTTGTGCACATATCTGACATAGTTTGTTCTTAATCTTTTTATTCTGTACTTTATTGGCACCATTATGCTTTTAGAAAATAAAGAAGTTGAAATTGGACCCGAGTATCTATATACTTTACCTGAAGACTTACAACAGTATGTTGAAGATGACAATGAGGCATTTCAAATGGAAATGGAACAGTGGGATTTTGAACAAAGTCGCAAAAAAGATTCATCTACGATGACTGTTGGAGGAGATGGAGATTGTACCATTATAGCAGAAAAAAGAATGGGTAAGTAAATCTATTTAAAAAAGTTCATTTACAACCACAAGGGATTCTGCATGTTTTCTGAAAATGATGTACATACACACAAGGGGAGGGGCACATATCTAGCTGAGGGTTGTTTCATCCAGATTAGTAAACAAAACTGGAGTAAATGGAAAAAATTAACATTGATGTACCATACGAGAATGCTAAAAGAAATAAATTTACCAATAGCAGTGTAACTTATATGAAAATCAGTATTTTATTATTTGCAACACAATACAAAATAATTTTCTCCAAAAATTTCATATAATGAAACTGTTTAAATCAGTTAGACATAGACTCATGTATGAAGTTTTTTCCACCGTGGAAGAAATTTGCTAACCTTCCTAAAAATACGGTGGCTGTTCTCACATTTTTGTATTTCACATTTGTATTTGTAAATTTCCATTGTATTTACAGAAGTATTTTACCTAAAAATTTTGTGTTTTAAATGTTCTCATTGATAACCATAAATCCTCATTATCTTTCTACACTATAATTTCCAAGATAAGGAAGCCTTTTGTAAAATCAGAAGAAGTATTTTATCCCATTCCTCTTGAACAGCTTTCCAAAGTCCAAAGAGGTTTGTAGGTCAATGGGTAGTCCACTTTTTAAAAGTCCAAAAGTGTAAAAATCCATGAGTGATACTTCAACAGATGTGAGTAAATATGGCCTTGATACCTGATTTTTGTTTCATTTTTTTTTCCACTGGGAAATTAATTTGATGTGTGGCTACTTGCTTTTTCTGCTGATTAATTGCACTGTGTGTTTGAAAATTGGGTATGAAATATGTTCTTGATAAATATGTAGAGTTGATCTTAACATATTTCTCCACTCTTGTTATTTTTAATTAGCCGTTATATGAAAAATGTGCAACAATCATAAATCTTTTTGAAAAACTTTCTTTAGATTCTTTGAACTATGTTTTAAGATTTTTTCCCCCTCTTCGTTGGTAATAAATGGATATCTTTTTATTGCAGTTATTTAAATACAACCAAGATTCATCTTTTGTGGCAACATTTATCCATTTCTGTTCCGATAAATGTTTCTCATAAAGAATTCTGCATCACGTTCTGTGTTCGCCAATATGTCGTGGAGAAAGACCTATGCATATAATGTTTTTAAGATTCAAATCAGCGCTATACACTTTGCTTGCAGTTGACACTGAGCATTTTAATGATTTTGTAAACACTTTTTGAATTGGTGGACTTTCTTTTAACATTAAAGATCTACATTTCCAACATTTGAAAAGTTCTGTTTTTAGCTTGGATATGTATTTAAAAAAATTCTTCCTCTTGAAACCAAACTTTGATGTTTTTTTCCCTTTAATTGACAACATTACCTATCATAGCTTTAGATATCACAAAGCCATGGCTTTCACAGCATTTTTTAATTGCTAGATATGAATAATTTTTTTTGGAAAGAGCAGAAACATAGCCTGCTGTCCATTACTTCTTTAATAGAGCCGTTTTGCATGAAAACACAATATTTCCAAGTAGCAGACTATAATTTATACCTTCAAAAATAGATATGCATTTAAAAACACTGTTCCATGCAGAAGATTTTATTTTATTATGAAGTAAAATCGTCTGAAAAATGTGTGAACAGCCCCTGTACGCTATTTTAAAAAATCTTAGTGTACATTAATGCCATTTACGATACACTAAATCTTGTATATTAAAAAGAAAGTTCATTTATGAAATTTCACTTGAACTGTATAATGTAATTAAGAAAGTTAAGCAGGACTTAAGCAAATTTTCTTCTCTTTTGAATTTATTCACTCAAAATTATGAAATTGGTTAATGCTAAGTAAGAGAAACAAAATATGCTCTGGAAATATTGTAATGATGTAGCTTCAGTTTTGTGATATAATTTTTTTTCAGTCCAAAGGTTCTTTGTCCCTAAAGGCCTTTTGTTTTCGTTGAATCACTTTTCAAACTGTTGCCACCAAATGTTAGAGTCCTGCATTATATTTGAAGAAATTAAATAATGAAAAATCTGCTTAAATGTATGTATATTTTTCGCATTGTGATAAAACAATGGTACCTAGAGCCATTAAATTTTGAATAACGTAATCCTCCACCGAATATGGTCATCTGGAAGCCCTAATTTGGAGTTTGTTTTATTATCGATTTCATATTTTGTAAAACTTTAACGAATTTTTGATTAACAAACTCAAGGATTTAAAAGCGAGCAATGGCAACACTACCGGGGGGGGACTTTTTTACCTCCAGCGTGCAGAACTGTGTATCGGAAAGTCTAAAGATATGTTCATTTTAAAATGAATTTGCGACATTGCTATTGAACTGAATTTTATGTTTTAAGTGCAAAGAACATGATATTTAATAAATAGAGGTAACACACAGAACTTTGAAAAAAAGCCCCTTTGGACGTAATTTAAAATCTGAAACCTTTCAGTTTTTTTAAAATTTAATTTTGCTTTTATTGATATAAAATGAATTTTAGTTTTAAAATCTGCCTAAATTCAAAAGCAGGTCTCATTGTAAGACCACAAAAATAAATAAAAAAGACCCCTCACCGCCGAAAAAGATGTATATAAATAACCAACGTGACTGTAAATATACAAATGAGACTAATTAAATTTTTAAAAATGAAAATTTTAAATTTGTAATACAGCTGTGATATATGAATGAAATGTACATTGTAGAACTGGTAAGATTGATTCCTGCTCATCATCTCAAAAAAGAGCTTAATTAGACAATCATTCTCTATTCCAATTTTTAGTTAATTAGCTTTTTGGGTCATTAGAAGCAGCCTTTGCACCGTATACATGTTTTGCAAGCTATCTGACTGGTGTTTTTTGCTTTTTTGAATTTTTTTAAAGCCTAATATGATGAAAATGAACTTTTTATTTCTTCATGTTTACCATTGTAAAAACATAACATCATGTGAGTAGAAATAATAGTTTTTCCCCTACAAGTCAGGTATAATCAAGGTCATTTCTTATTAAAAGTAACAAAAAGATTAGATAAAAATGCACTTTTATTTAATCCTTTGACAGTTGCAAGATTGAGCAATTCTTTCTTCCTAAATACATGCAATATCTATCGCTCATAAATTTGTAATACGAGCTGTGTTTGTTTGCACCCACTTTAATGCAAGCCAAGTTCATCGATGACCATCGAAACCTTAAAAAAGAGCAGAATTTTCTTGAAGATCCGGTATTTTTTATCTTAAAATAAAAATTCAATTTTTTATTGTAGGTAAATAATAATTCTTATTAAAAATATATTGTTGGATTAAAGTTTGGTCTTCAGGTTTCAGGCTGGAATCTGAAAGATCAAATTTTTAATGCCCCCCAAACATTTATTTGCTCCCAATTTCAACTTCAGCTTTGGTTGTTAATACTTTCTTAATGAAACGATTCTAGATTTATACAAAAATTAGATAAAAAGTGGAATTTATATGCAATCATTTAGATTAATCTTTTTCATAATTATACTGTAATCCTTTAAATGTTAGTCATTTAATATTCCATATTTTCTTTGAGATTTACTAAATTTGAATATTCTTGATAAGAAATAAATAATTCTTTTCTTTTCTTCATAGTTATGGATGAGAACACAGCTCGATTTTTTAGCAATTTAAGCATGGAACATGCTGTCTTATTGCACAAAACAACACTTAGTCGAATTGAACATGCAAAAATCTTTTCGGGACATGGAGCTGCCGAAGCATTTGCAGAGGTAAGAAAAGCACTTTGAAAATGCAAATTAAAGTTTCCTCTTAAAAGAGAGATTTTATATGAATATTAATTTTTGTAAAAAATTGTAAAAGATCTCTCAAATGGCATACAGTCATGTTTCATACTTGCCAGCTACTTCTTATGACTATAAGGCTATATCCTTCAAGTAGCTTATAAATAAGCATGACACTGTGTATGTTCAATAACCATTGCTACATGAAAAATTCAGCTGCTATACAATTTCAGTTATGTTTATAATTCTGTAAAAGGTGAAACCTCGGTTCCTGAACTTAAATTGCTTCTAAAAGCCGTTTGTCATTGTTAATGTTTATAAACTAAAACTGAAAAAAGATTAATTTGTTTCTGGAGGAGATATGCTAGCTTATTTAAAATCTTAGAACATTATTTTATGCACAGGTTTATCACAAAACAAATTGGAATTATTAAATCTTAAGACAGGAAAGGTTAAACACAATATTAAACGGAAAGTAGATAATTTATTTTACTATACCCATGCAAAGGAAAGTCTGCTATCGTGAATGAAAAGTGTTAAGGTGGAGATATTAGAGTCTGAGTGAGAAATTCCCTTCTACAAAAACATCAGGTAGCTGTGTCTCTTGTCTGTTTTCTTTATCTCTTAAAGCTGCTGAACTATACTTCAAATTTACTGGACCTCCATTTCACTCAAAATTTCAGCAGTGTGATTTGTTATTGGTCTTCATATTAGAATATTTCTAAAGTGACATATTGGCAATGTCACTGAAATTGTTTAGATATAGCTTGGCATTTCTTAATTAGGATAATGTTTTTCAGTGAAACTTTAGATCTTTTCTTATTTTGCAGGTCAAAGAACTAGGATCGTATTCGCTTTCCCTGAAGTCCCTTCTCGCGTAATCATATTTTGTTGCTGAAATTGTTCCAGTTTTATATATATATAGTTTTTTTAATGATTATCCCAGTTTTTTTTATGAGCTCATTTTTTGAGGTTGTCCACTGACTCTTCTGTGTCAGCACTGTTAATTTCTCTCCCATGGTCTGGCCTAGAGACACAATATCATTGACAACAAAAAATTAATCAATGCGAAGCCTCCCTAAACTTTAGCTGCAACATGGTTTAACCATAATTTCCTCCAGACTGAAGTCATGGTCCTTGTGTTCAGGCACTCGGGAGTCACAGATTTGCTAATGAGGTGAGTTACTAAAAATATTTAAATGGTATTTCTAGATGGCGCTGAGTCTTGAAATATGTCACAGATTGCTTCAAATGGTTTTGAAAATCATTTATTGTTGATCCATCCAAAATGTTTCTTCACCATCCAAAATGTTTTTTGTTCAGAAAATTTGTTCATGAACTGAGGTTCACTGTAATTTAGTTTTCTGCCTTAACAAAAAGTGAATGAGATATAAATCAGTTGTGGGTTAGTATGTCCTGTAACTGATTTGTATTTTATTAATAACATTTTATAATTTTTTTTTTATTGTACTCAAAAATTTTCCATGCCATGTTAAGCATATTTATTTCTTACATTGGTGTGTTGTGTGTGATGTTATGAAGAACATGTATTCTTTAGAATTTTATTGTGCAGATAGTTCACCAGGAAAGTTCTAGACTAAGAAGGTTGGCAAGACTTCCCGCTAATCCATCTGAAGACCCTCGACTACAACATATTGGTGTTTATATGGCAATGAATTCTAATTCTCCTGAGCCATTTCTTACATGGTCCATTTTAGAGCAGTTTTTGGTGCCTGAATTGGATGATTTCCGAAAGTAAGGAAAATTAATTATTTATAACTGCTCTAGAATTGTAAAATTTTAAATTATATGAATGAAACTGAGAAAATTTAAGTGCTTTGAAAAATTGATACAAATCAATAACAGGGTTATCTGGAAAACCGGGAAAAGTCAGGGAATTTGAAAATTGACCAAAAAAGTTAAGGAATTTAAATATTTTAGTCAGTATCTGTAAAAGTCGCGGAGTTTCATACTGCAATTCTCAAAAAAGCGATTTTCGCGTTAGTGTCGGAAGCAATCACTTTCTTTGAGAATCATCTATCGTGAGCATCATTCAGACAGCTAGCATAGAGCCAATTTTCGCAGTGCCAATCAGATTGTCTTTTAGAAAAACGAAGCAAGTTTCTAGCTTCTTTAGTTTCCAGTAACCTTGAGAATCCACATAGTCACATGTGCATGTGTAGTGCACGTTGAACTAAAGTAAATTATCATATAAAACAAAATCTTTTAAACCTTTTCTTCTTTCTTAAATGCTTTATTTGTCATTTTGCAATTTAAAAAAATTTCTGTCATCTAGGCTAACCATTTAATATATCTATATTTGCCAAGTACCATTGATATTTGTAATTCAGTCTTTAACCCTCAAGTAACTTTCTTTTAATGTTACTCATATCATTTAATGTGTCTTCTTGCTTCCAAATTTACTTATTATTAGTTGCTAATACTTTTAAATTTCAGGCAATTTTCTTTGGCATACTTGTGAAACTAATTCTAGCAGTAACATGACAGACCGTCACAAAATTTAGTGCATATAATTTTTACCTAAGTATGCTGCTGAATAAGTATAAAATATTTGAATTTATTTTAAAATATCATTAAATGCATTTCTTTCTTCCTTTAGCTGCAAAAAAGACATTTTTAAATCCCGATTGGGCAGATTATAATCTCTGTCCTCAGTGGAGAAAACAACTCCTATTGTAGTTATAAAAGTAATGCTTTGGGAATTATGTATATGTATATAAAGTCATATATAATTGGCAAATTTTTGTGTTTTCAAGTGGTACCATAATTAATTTACCCTCAGCACAGCCAATGTGCACTACGTGGATAGTCTAGCGTTTTCTTGAAACACACCTGGAAAAGTCAGGGAATTTCATTCTTCTGTTTGAGTGGGAACCCTGTAATAAAATTTGAAGTATGATCTTAAAAACCAAAGTGTATGAATTTCTTCTATTAGTCAGTAATACCATCTTAGTTGTATATAGTTTGAAAAAAAAAAGTTAAGTAAAAGTTTATACAATAAATTTTTAATAATATTGAAATCTCTGTTTTAGTGGGCGCCTTATGAAAGATGCAGCTACTCTGAAACTGGACAATATGAGGCGTAATTTTAATGATCACCACTCTACATTGTATAAAAATTGGCATCAAGAGTATCAGACATTTCGTAAATTGGTCAGCTGTTTTGTTCTTGGTATCGAAAATTATCACCAGCAGAAAAAGTAAGTTTAATATTTGTGGTTATTAATAATTTCAGAGTAAGCAGGGTATAAAAAATAATAATGGTTTGCCATGTGTTTGTTAAAAATGGTGCTTCAAAAAAATGCATCAGAAGTTCGAACAGAATGTATGAGGGAATAAACCTGTTGTTTGATAAATAAGCTTTGAAAATAATCAAAAATTTGAACTGTGTTTAGATTTTGAGAAAATAAGGGTCTTCAAGTTGGCTGACTGTAACCTTTCACTATGCATATTGCATTGATTTTATCTCTTTTGGTTTTGTCTGAAGATTCCCTGTAGATTACTGAATCTCCCATTTTTAAAAATTTTTTAGCCTTTTATTTCGTTGCTACTGATGCAGCTTTGTGTTTCCACGTATCAAACTACAGCATACTTGTTGATTCTCCCAGTTTTTTATTTTTAGCCTTTACAAATGAAAGTGTTTTTCAGCAGTAACTTAAAATGTAAACTTAAACTTAAAAAGTAAACTTAAAATGTGCAAATAAAATTTGCACAATTAACGTTTCATTAATGAAGTTTAAATTGTGGAAATTTTATTCCCATGTCCTTAGTATTCCTCATAATTTTCCTTATTAAATTTTATTTGATCTGAATTGTCTTAATCTACCATAGACATGTCTGATACTTATATGAACATTCAACCAATGTTTAACTCATAAATTTTTATATTTAATTTTGCTTTAATCAATATATCAAGTCTGTAGGTCCATTTCAAAATATGCAATGCCTTCACTGGATTCAAAAGTCCAGACCTTTCGATTTCTAGCTGAACATGCTTCCAATTACACCATGACAGCACAGGAAGTTTTGAACCTAGTCACCCAATCCTGGTAGTGGTGAATTTATCATGTATCGGATTTTAGTTTGCATCACTGTAGAGCGAATTTTGGATTTTTTAGAGGCAGGAGATGTAAAAAATGTAGAATACCCTGGCCGGGATTCAGAGTCTGGACATTTTAAGGCACATCGTAAGGAAGGAAAAGTATCTTACAAATACATAGTACATTACTAAGTTTATCCACACAATACTTTGTACACCAATTATTAATTTTATTTTTCTCGTATTTAGAAATTAAAGCTTTTCTTTTCCACTAAAAAAATTCTTAGTATATAAGTATAAGAAAAAGAACATACAATTTTAAATATGTAATTAAATATTAGCGTATTTTATGTCAGAATCTTTCTGAATAGTTGAAAAAGCTGAATCATATATTATAAAGCAAATTTTAATCAATTTTAACTTCTTTTAAAATAATCCTACTGTGCTGTGCAAAAGCCAACAAACTCCCAGTTTTTCCTATTTCATGTTTGACAGGTATGCTGCAGAACAAAATGCGATGGTGAAACATTACTAAAAAAAAAGCTTAAAAACTAGTTTCTTATATTGAAATTGGTCTCGAAAGTGAAGGGACGGGATTGCAGCCTAACCAATATGAAGTGAAGAAATTGTTTTCTTTTTCACATTGTTCACCTGTATGTGCCATTCTGTTTTAACCCTTTCCAGCACGCTACCTTTTAAAGTCGGAATTTTAATTTAAAAAAAAAAAAAGGTATGCAGTCTACCTAGAGAAGTACACAAGTAAAATTTTGTGAAGATATCACTTATCGTTTTAATTCTGTGGGTGGGCCCTAAGTGGCACACTGATTGAATAGAGCTTCGAAAAGAATGCTGAAACTAGCATTGTTGTCAATGAACTGACTGATGAGATGTGGAGAAACAAAGAATACAGACTCTCAGTTGTCCTAGATTATCGGTGAGCCCGGTCTGGGCACACATAGGATTCGCAGTTTGATTTTAGGCAAGATTTCAAGGTAAAAACTTAATATAGAATTAGCCCAAAAATAACATAGAAATACAGCCCAAAAATAACATAGAAATTTCTTTTCAAACAATTCCTTTTATATCCTAAAAAAATTTGGAAGATTTCTTTGAAAAATGAGGGTCTTAAAAAACTAAACATGGTTAAATTATATGGACTGGTTTGTGTTGAGCTGCCATCTTCTATAAACAAAGAAGGTTCATAGTAACCTATAGTAACCTATAAATCCTTTTTCATTCAATTTTTCTGTGCGTACAGAAGGAAATTTTTAGGTGAAAAATTCCGGAAATTAAGACCGGGCACACTGTGCCGCAAAGGGTTAAATTTACAGTTAGTTTTAATTAACTTTATTATTTGGCATTAGTTATTAATTTTGCTTTCTTCACATTTAAAAGTATTTTGGTAAATAAAAGCTCTACTTCCTCACTCAAGATTTTCTCAGTACACAGAAGTGTAAGAAAATTCTGAAATGAAATTAGCCAAAGAACATAAAGGCAGAATTTGCATGAAATCAGGCAAACAGAGGTCTTGTGAAGAGATTATGGAAGCATCTTGGAACTTGGGGGGAGAAGAACTAATCTGCTGTTCAGCATGTAATTGATAAAGTCTTGTCATGTCATGATCAGTTAAGATACCCAACATTTTGGCTTTATTAAAAATGACTTAATTTAGCAATTAAGTTTTCCATGTCATAATGGAAGATGATATGATGGCTTATACTCCCGTAGAGTCAAATGCATTATTTCAGAAAGTTATTCATGTGCTGTACTAACTCTTAACCATGTTGGCCAGAAGGGGGCTGTTTAACCTGTATTCTTCTCTTTTTTAATTTTTTTAAATGATTGTTACTCACAATCAGGGGCGTAGCCTGAATTTTCATAAAGGCATGCTGCTGAACACCAAATGTTTTGAAAATTATATTAACAAATGAAAATTAGAATTACATGTATTAGAATGTTGAATATTGTTTTTGCATATTAATATGTTGTTTTTAGGGTCTGATTTAAGTTATATATATAATTCGTATTAGTGGTTCGGGAAGTTCTAAAAGTTGACGACCACTGGTTTCGAGTGCCTGGGTAAACTATGAAATTTCTTGTAGTTCATATTAGAACCATTTACTGTGATCTACTTACTCTTAAGTTCAGAGTACTTTTTTTTCCCTTAAGAGAAGGAATAAATTTTTTCCCCTCCCCCTCAACCATTTATATATATAACGGTATTTTCCTTTTTTTTTTAAATATCACAAAAGTATTGATTTTAATTTCTTTTTTAGTTATGCAAGTGCTTTAAACATGTTCATTTGTTGTTGCCAACTCAACTCAACTTTGTTAAAACTAGCAGGGAGCAGACGAGGTCTTGATGTTAAGCTGCTCGAGCATTATAGGAGAAAAAGTGCTTTGGTAAGTGTTATTTATTTTACAGTATTTCAATGCTGTTATTTCATCTTAAGTGTTGCAATTTTTATGTATTGTACCTGCATTTTTTGTGATTTCTTCGAACTTTAAGATATACTACATGGAGTATTTCTATAGCAATAGTTTTGCTCCATTTAAAGGAATTTATCAGACTTTTCATTTTATTTTTATAAAATTTCTGATAAAAATACTTTTTTCATGTATTTTTATATATTTATTTATACATATTGGGGCCATATACGATATTAATTTGGTTATGAAATGCATTGGGAGAAGGAAAGTTATATTTTGTCTGGGTGTAAAAAATTTAGCTATCCTAGCTTACTTTTTTTTTTTTCTCATTAAGAAACAAAACATCACAAGCAAGTACCAGACATAAAAATAAATTATGAAGTAATTCAGAAAGAAAATATACAGAAAGGGAAAAATTGCTCTTAAAACTTACATTTTTGCGATAACATGTACTTGAACATAAAAATTAAATATTTTTTAGTGATTTCATGAAACAGTTGTTTACAATGAAAAACTCAATCCTATTGTCATCATAATTACATTAAAAAAATTTTCGTCTTTTGAGTGTTAAGCCCTCTCAACCAGGGTTGAATAACCCTGTAGGTAAGAAGGGAGAATGCAATCAGCCTTTAATTTACCTGTTAAATAGTTTTAGTTTTTGAATATAAAAAACCCACTTTAAAAAAAATAATGTAAAGCTAAATAACTGTATATATGTGTTGGAGTTTTTGAAAGAAATGAAGAATGATCTAGAAATGGTGAAAGGGTTTATTGGGGCAAGGCAGGTTTAGCGACCATAGCACTATTAAATATGTGTTCATTTGCTGCATGTAATACAGCAATACCTCACATAGTCCAAATAACAATTCTGTCAGTACTGTGGATGATTTAAAATCTGTCTAATCGAGAAAGTAAATACATGCAGAAAATAATGGGTTCCCAAATTTTTTTCCTTCCAATAAATTTCCTTTTAATAGATAAAACATGATTAATTAATTCAACTATTTTTATTAGAAGTAATTTTTAAAAAGGTAAACATTCATAATTAATTTTTTTCCCCTAAAAATCACAGTATTGATGCCCTTAGCCTTTTCTATTTCATTCACATTCTGTAGCAAGGGTTGCAAAAGGTGTCAACCATTGCAGTACCTTTTCACTTCCTGCCCCAATTTTGGTTGCAATTGGCTACACCAAATATCGCAATCAGCAACATACATAAATTATATGTATGTATATACCTACTCTATTACTCGACTCAGTGAGCTGAATTTTTTTTCTTATTATATGTTGGTAAATTGTGCATTTTTTGCTTTAAAAGTTATTGACTTATGTTGTTCTTATGTTCCGGTTAAGTTTTTACGCCTTTAATCTGCATGAAATAGCTGTAGAATTACTAACAATTTAAAAGCTTTTTAAGGATGTATATGGGATTTTATGTTTTACTGTATTTTACAATTTTTAATTAAGGTACTTTTATGTATTTTTGCTTTGCCGCAAAGTAAGAACTGAATTAATTGAATGAGAAACATATCACTAATGAAATTCGATGAGTTTATATGAAATGCAGCAAAAGATGTGTATAATTTAATATACCATACAAGGAAGTCATATAACACATCAGATAATTTAAATTTTGGTATTTAAAGCTTTTTATATATATATATATATATATATATCAATGGGAGCAACATATTTTATTTTGGCTAACTTAATCTTTTAACTTAATTTAAAATGTTTGTGAATCAAAAAGTTAAAGGTTTACATTTAGGAACATTATTTCAAGTTACCAAAGATATTGCTGACAGTCTGTCTGAAAGGGATATTAGCAGATTTTGGTAAATGAATATTTTAATGAGCAGTGATTGTTTTGGAAAATGTTTTATGTAACTTTGTTTTCATTTTACCCAAAAGATCTAGTTTCCATCTTTTGAAATATTATGTAGTTTAAATTATTTTAGGAAACTGAGTATAAAGTAATTTTTAATGCATATTGATTCATTTTTTAATTTTTGCTAGAATATTAATTATTTTTCTTCATAATTAAGTTGTAGTTTTATTATTACAAACAATATTATAATATGATGGGGTCACATTTCTGTGTTGATGTTTTCTTAGAAGATTTAAAAAGCAATGAACAAGGATATCCACTATACAAATCAATAACCACCATCATTAATGGTTGCTTTATCAACGAAGACCACCTGTGCAGAAGTGCATATTTATTTGTCTGGAACATGAATAGTAATTTTGGAGCTGTTTCACTGAATTTTGCTCTAGATTTAGTCAATTTCATATATATATATATTGAGTAATATTTATATCAGGGTTGGGTCTGTTCTAGAAGAAACATATTTTTTCCAGGATAGTATAAGAAACTAGGGAAAAGTGGAATAAATTAACATTCATGCAACTGTGAGGCTAAGGAATAAATTTACAATAACATTTTATAGTACAGTCAAAAGTCGTTAATTCGGACACCCATAATTCGGAATGATCTATAATCCGGACATCAAAACTAAAAACTTTCTGCGCATGCGCCACGTTGACACATGTGCAGAGGCGTTCACGCGTGCGCGTAAGACCTTTTACGACTGCGCATATGAGTGTGCGCAAGTGCAGAATACGTTTTCGCGTGCGCATTTTATGTATAATGGACGTATAAGCTAAATAATTATCTATTTCATTTAATGTTGATGATTGCGTTGTTCCTTAATTTTCGAATTGCATCCGGCTTATTATTTTTTGCAGACTGTAAGAGCAATTTTATAAAAGTAAGCTTAAACTTTCGATTATATCAAATAGAATTTCCGATATATATTTGTTAATATGTAAAGGATCTAAAGCGAAAGTATGTTTTGAAATCCGAAATCTGTTTATCAATTTCACGCTGCTTCGGCGGCGGGCGAATGCCTCGGCGCAAATGAATTGGAAGTTGATTTGTCAGCACTATCCTTATCTTCAGCGCAGATGTTTTTATTTTATTTGGCTATAATTCCTTACTAAATGTAGTATTTCATCTCGGTATGCACTCCGTCTTTGATATGATTTAAAACAAGTTCCTCGTCATTATAATTCGCTTCCGATAGCGAAGAAAAGTGAACAGAGGTTATTGAAAACGAAAAAAATTTCGATTGACAAATTAGTCGGTGTTCTTGACACAGCAATTATAGGACTTGAACGGCGGAACTTTGTAACTGAACAAGAAATTATGTCTGTTTAATAGAATTAAAGAGAAAGTATTATCACATGAAACGAAGCAAAACTTAAACAACTTACATTGAAAGAAATGTTTAATAAAGTAAACAAATAAATATTAAGCTTTTTCTTTTTGCAAATTTTGATACCCTTTAGATCATAATTGTTCTTTGTTTCATAAATTACGGTTTCATATTTTTAATTTTAGAATTTCTGCATGCCATCTTACGAGATTTAAACTGATGATCTATAATCCAGAAAAATCGATAATCCGGAATCGCCGAAGTCCCGACGAGTCCGGATTAACGACTTTTGACTGTAAATGTTTTAGTGCAGAATAATATAATAATTTTCCCCAGAACTTCATATAATGAAACTATTTAAATTTATTACATAAAGTACAAAGTCCAAGATCTGCATATCCAGTATCTGAAATGATTTAATATCCGGACCACCAGCCATAAAAATAAAAATCTCCCCCGAAGTCTGGGAGGTTTTCTTCTTAGTAATCCCTCTGATCTGAATCAGATCAGATCCATAAATTCATTCTCCTTCATAAATTCCAACTTGAAATTAGATAGCTTCAGCAGCTCATCATGCACCAAGGCAATACAACTAAACAGATGCTGCAAAGTAGCTTTATATAGGTGCTTCATTTGATACAAATGGAAAAATTTTTAGTACCACGAGAATATCTGAAGGTCCTTAAATGTCCTGAAGTCAACCGAGGCAGAGCCGTTTAGCCCTTCATGTCACCTTTGAAACCAATAGCAGTACCAGGATGTAAAAAAGCAAAGACAAGCAAGATTGTTAATGAGTTGATACAAATGACTGGTATATCTAAAATGGCAATTAAAAAATTATATAAAAGAGCAATTGTATGAATTGTAGCTCATGCTTGTTCAGCATGGTGGAAATTTGCCACAGTTAAAATGAGGAGAAAAGCAAATGCTGTCCAAAGGATGACAAGATGCTATAAAACAGTATCTACATCATCTCTTCAAATTTCAGCTGGTGTGATTCCACTTGATATCAGCTGGATATAAAAAGTGCTATTCAAATAACTACTAGAGGTTGCTGTAACTTTGGATATGGTGATATAAGTATTAATAAAGAAGAAATAGAAAGCGTAGACTCAAAGTGGTCATAACATCTAGCTAAAATTAAAGCTTTAAGCAGGACTTAAGTTCTCCACTGAATAGTGGTTGTGAACTATATTTGGATGGTTTTAAAAATGATGATGGAACTGGTGCAGGATTTTGTATTTACCGAGATAGAATTTTTAACTCTTTAACTTCTTTAAGCGTTTTCAGATGTCTCTCTAAAAATGCTTTAGATGCATATACATGCAACTGAAATTTTTTGAAAAATGATTAAGACGTGTATACATGAAGGCAAGACTCTGATAAATGCCTAAGATGTGTTGAGACGTTACACCAGATCTTCCGTCCACCTGCATATCTGCAGATGGCTGTCATTTAGCTCAAAGCTCTTAGTAGGGTGTGAAATCTGTTTGAATAGCGCACTTTACAGAAGAGTCTGCTGAGTGAAGACAACAGGTATATATTTATCTTCTGGCGACTACAAGCTTGTTGAATGGAAATGAATCATTTTACAACTGTTTGCCTCCTGATACTTTAAAGTAATGTCCAACCCACAGTCGCTGATTATATTATCATATTTTAGTAAAAAAAAACACAAATGTATTAGAAAAAATATTTAATAAATCATATAATATATTATTGACTACTTGAGCTTTGTATTAAAAGTATGTTACATTTTTTGATTCGTCAACAGTAAGAAAAAGATATATAATGTCACAATTAGCTTTTTGTTTGCCCTTGTATTTCAATTGGAGTTTTTAATGGTATTTTCTTTTTGCTTTGTGAAAGGACAACACAATTTTCAGCATGGATTTATATGTGTGATTGATTATTTACTATAAACATTAACTTGCATGTAAAAAATTCTTAAATATAGAGATTAAGATATTCTACTTGAGAAATAAAATTGATTGAATGAATATACCAGAAGAATTTATTAGACCAATAGCTTTGTTTAAATAATTTATTAAAATTTGGAATACAATAAAATATGGGGAAAAATCTCCAGCGTTTCTTGAAGTTTTTTTAGAAACAAATTTATAAGTATAAATCTCTTGTTCTTATAATGGAATTTAAGTGGAATGAAACAATAAGTGCATGGTGCTCAGTAGTAGCATAGACAGTAAAAAATGTTGAGATTCAAGTTAAGGGGAAGTAGAAATGAAGATAGCGTATTAGATATTGTAATGTTAATATAACTATGTATTCTTATTGGAATGTAGGTGTCTTTTAAAGAAACAATATTGTGATAGTTACCTGTAATGTATCCATGACTACACTTCGTTTGTTATATTCTTACTATAACTGCATCCTTCAGAAATTAAATTATCTGCATAATTTTCCCCTTTCAATTTTTGGATGGCAAAATCAGTCTGGGGGGGTCTAAAAATGCAAGAAAATATAGTATTTTGCTTATTTTTGGTCATTGATATTAACTAAAATTTGGTTTTAAATGTATCTGACTGCAAAAGCAGATCTCATTAGAAGTGCACAAAAATACATACAGGAGCCCCATTCCCTCCAAAAAAGTATAAATAACCAAAGAAAGGTAAACATACAAATGAGGCTTGTTAAATTAGGTAGAATATGAATATATTTAAATTTGTAATAATACATCAGTTCTACATATGAATAAAATATAGGCATAATAATATAAATAAGTTCAAAAATCAGTTTCTTTCTTCCACATTAGCAGATGGAACCTATTTCTTCCAGGTGATTTTTTCCATTGTAGAAGGCACTTGCCAAAATAGGGAAATTTTATGTCTCTTATGTTAAATCATGGCGAGTAGCTATGATATTAGCTCTAAAACGTAAAAATTCTGCATTTTTTAAAATTTAATTAATTATTTTTTTATGTGTGATTTTAACATTTTTCATTTAACTGGCTGAAACTTTCATTGAAAGGCTGAATATTGACTTGTTTTTAATATAAAGGGTTTGATGATGAGCTGTTGAAAAAATTTTCATTGTCTTTGTAATTTTTTTTTTTTTTTTTTTTTTTCCAATAGAAACTAAATGAAATTGTAGCCAACCAGTTTGAATCTTTGGATCCTGCGGCAGCTTTAGAGGCCTTATCAACTGCCTACGAGTACGTACTACCGAGTATGGAATTCCTTGCATCACCTGGAGCATCCGAGACAGATATTGTTGTGGCAGAAACTATACGAAACAGATGGTGTTCTATGTTGGGTCTTGACATAGCAAGTAAGCAAAGTATGAGATCATTTTGGGTTTTAAATCTCGATAATTACTTAAGCAGGTGGTGCCAAACTTGATAGCCAGGCTTCGTATGTAAAACAGTAAGTGATTTCATTATAAACTTGAAAAACTGCGTAGTCAGGTAAAAATAATGTGCATTAAAAATGTCTAGGAAAAGTTAGGTATGAACATGTTTGGCATTGCATGACTTTGGTAACTAGCGGGAATATTTATGATCATTATTTAAAGGTATGAGATATGTGCAAGCCAGTCTTGTATGGATTTTATATGATTTAGAATTTTCTAGAAATAGATTTAAAATAAGTAAAAGAAATTTATTTTGTGGAAATAAGATGAAAGAGAGTTCTTTCAGTATTTAAGCTATTTTTTTATTAGTGACATTGAAAATTGTATATAAAAGAGGTGGCATTGAAGAGAGAGTTTCATATTATTATTATTGAAAGAGGTGGCATTGAAAATGGTATATGAAAGAGAAGTCTAGAATGTGAAGATTTTGCGTTGGTGATGTGATAAGTTATCAGGTTATGATAAAGATAAAACTTTTTTTTTCCTTTTGCTTCCGCTTTTATTACCTGTACATAATGTAATCAAAGTCAAAATGAAAGTAATATGTGTTTATTTAAAACATAAAAATGAAATTTATTATTGAAAAATCTGATGTGTACACCACGACTTCCTTGTACAGAATATTAAATTATATGCATTTTTTCTTGCATTTCATTTAAACTCTATCAGATTGAATTAAATCTACATTGTCGATAGCACATAAACCACAATAGAATAAATGCACTCTTTAAAATTCACTATACAGTCAAAAGTCGTTAATTCGGACACCCATAATCCGGAATGATCTATAATCCGGACCTCAAAGCTACAAACTTTCTGCGTCTGTGTCGCGTTGACGCATGCGCGTAAGACCTTTACGGCTGCGAATTTGCGTGTGCGCGTGCGCAAAATACGTTTACGAATGTGCATTTAATGTATAATGGACGGGATAAGCTAAGCTAAAATTATCTAATTATCTATTTCAGTTAATGTTGCAGATTGCGTTGTTCCTTAATCTTCGAATTGGATACGGCTTATTATTTTTTGCAGACTGTTAGAGCAATTTTATAAAAGTAAGCTTGAACTTTCGATTATTTCAAATAGAATTTCCGATATATATTTACTAATATGTAAAGGATATACAAAGCGAAAGTATCTTTCGGAGTCCATTAAACAAAATGTGGAATTGCTGCAAAAAATGGATAAAAGCATATCCTTTGTTTATCTTTAACGCCGCGGAGCGCAATGAATTGGAAGTTGATCTGTCAACACTATCCTTATCTTAAGGGCAGATATTTTTATTTTATTTGGCTTATAATTGCTTACTAAATGTGGTATTTCCTCTCAATGTACTCCGTCTTTGATATGATTTAAATCAAATGCCTCGTCATTATAATTCGCTTCCGATAGCGAAGAAAGTGACAGAGGTTATTGAAAACGGAAAAATTTCGATTGACAAATTAGTCGGTATTCTCGACTTGAACTCGGTATAGGACTTGAACAGCGGAACTTTGTAACTGAACAAGAAATTATGTCTGTTTATGGTAAAGAGAATGTATTATCACATAAAAAACGAAGCAACTTAAACAACTTACATTGAAAGAAATGTTTAATAAAGTAAACAAATAAATATTAAGCTTTTTTTCTTTTTTCTTTTTTCTTTCTTTTTTTTTTTTTTTTTTTTTTTTTTTGTAAATTTTGATACCCTTTAGATCATAATTGTTCTTTATTTCGTAAATTACGGTTTCATATTTTTAATTTTATAATTTCTGCATGCCATTTTACCAGATTTAAACTGATGATCTATAATCCGGAAAAATCGATAATCCGGAATCGCCAAAGTCCTGACGAGTCCGGATTAACGACTTTTGACTGTATTTGTTTATTACAGCGACACTCTGGCGTTAGGTTCACTTAACAGCATTACATTTCATTCATATTATATCTTATAATGCATATAAATTTATATCATTTGAAGAATTATCTAATCATTGTCACATGTTCTATTCAAATACTATAATAAATTTGAAACGATGTATAAAAGAAATTAAGCAAACAAAACAAAAAAGAAACAGTTTTTCACAGACAATTCAGTATTTCTCATTCAATTAATTCAGTTCTCACTTCCCGACAAGGTAAAAATACATAAAATTCAAAATATCTATATTAAAAATTATGAAGTAAATCTTAAACACTTATTTCCTTAAATAAATTCCAGAATGGATTAAACATGATTTAATTTGCAATAATAAAAAAAGACGTTATCTTTGTTGTTGCGAAGCTTAGTTTCTCTAGATTGGCAACAAATCCGCTATTTTGCAAAGTTTGAAATGTAAAGAAACATGACTGCCATCACAAAAAATTTTAGGCTTGGTTGCAATTAAACAACTTTTAAATTGTTGATAACTCCACAAATATTGTGTATGCAGATTTACTTAAGGCATAAAAACCTTAAAAGGGGTGTTGGAACCCCAAAATCTTCAAAAAATTGTGATTTTGGATTTTTGCATTTTCAAATTCTCTACACTTTTATCTTTCTAAAAATACCATTCTTTAATCTCTATGAAAATTAGAACTGTGAAAAAATCTTGTTTTAATTTCTCGTCTACTGCTTTGATCAATGAGGATTTTTACATAAAAACACGTTTTTCTTCAAACGTGATTTTTTTATACTCGATGTACCTTTTCTCAGGAACTACTGCTCACAGGTATCTAAACTTTTTATGGCTTATTTATTAGGTTCCCTAATATTTACTGAAATGAGCTTTTTGTAATAAACTTAGGGGAAAAAAATTTAATTTTTTTGCGTATGAAAAGTGCTAAATTTTACTATGCCTAACAAAATATTCTGTAATTTACTCTAAAATTCAAAATGCTTCAAAAGCTCATTTCAGTACAATCAGATAGGTTTACTTTAATTACAGAAAAAATTTCAAGCTTGTATCTACAGCATATTTTGAGAAAAGGTACATCGAAAATGGCCAATTTAACATTGTCAGTATAGGGGTTTCTGATACCCCTTAACCGGAAGATAAGAACAACGTAATTCAATCATTTTTAAAGCAAAAAGTGCACAATTTATAAACATATAAGAATAAAGAAACTGAAATCACTGAACTGAGAGTGGATGTTTATATATTTTTTGGTGCAGCCGATTGCAACCAAAATACGAGGTGCACATCTACATATTATAGCAGTCCTATATACAAAATTTCAACGTTCTGAGGCTATTCGTTTTTGAGTTATGTGAGATACGTACGTACGGCACAAAAATTTTTTCTTCAGAATTTTTAGATCAGTTTTATAATTTTTTTAGGGTTGGGGAAAGTTTTTTATTCTGTTATTACGTATAGATGTCACGCAAAAACATCATTAAATTGCATTCAATAGTGGTCAAAATGGATATTTTCGTTGAAATATGATGCCTGAAAATTTTCGTAATTAAGTAAAAATGGTTTGTTTAACGTTTAAATCTGTATTGTGAATTTAAAGGCAGCAAAGTTATTCCATGTTAGAAAAATTATGTTCAAGATAATGAAGTGTATAGCAATTCGTAAAAATATTAATGTTATTTAATTTTGGCTCATGTAAAATTTTAATCGTTTTTTGAAGCAAATGGACTTATACAGTCAAAAGTCGTTAATCCGGACTCGTCGGGAATTTGGCGATTCCGGATTATCGATTTTTCCATATTATAGATCATCAGTTTAAATCTCGTAAGATGGCATGCAGAAATTCTAAAATTAAAAATATGAAACCGTAATTTATGAAATAAAGAACAATTATGATCTAAAGGGTATCAAAATTTACAAAAAAAAAGCTTAATATTTATTTGTTTACTTTATTAAACATTTCTTTCAATGTAAGTTGTTTAAGTTGCTTCATTTTATGTGATAATACTTTCTCTTTAATTCTATAAACAGACATAATTTCTTGTTCACTTACAAAGTTCCGCTGTTCAAGTCCCGTAATGGCTGTGCTGAGAACACCGACTAACTTGTCAATCGAAATTTTTTCATTTTCACTAACCTTTCTGTCACCTTCTTCATGTCTTTATCCATTTTTTGCAGCAATTCCACTTTTTGTTTGATGGACACCCAAACATACTTTCGTTTTGTAGATCCTTTGGGAGCTCCAGCATCGGAAATTCTATTTGACATAATCGAAAGTTCAAGTTTACTTCTATAAAATTGCTCTTACAGTCTGCAAAAAATAATAAGCCGCATCCAATTCGAAGATTAAGGAACAACGCAATCATCAACATTAACTGAAATAGATAATTAGATAATTTTAGCTTATACCGTCCGTTATACTTTAAACGCGCACGCGCATATGCGCAGTCGTAAAGGTCTTACGCGCACGCGCATGTGCGCAGTCGTAAAGGTCTTACGCGCACGCGTAAACGCCTATGCGCATTTGTCAACGCGGCACATGCGCAGAAAGTTTTTAGCTTTGAGGTCCGAATTATGGGTGTACGAATTAACGACTTTTGACTGTATTTATAATTAAAAATCTTTATATTATTTTGTAGGAAGAAAATAATTTACTGATATTAGCCTTCTGACTGATGATTATAGTGGTTACTTTGTAAATACTCATCTATTTAAAATCATTAGGTTAATTAATTTTAAAATTTCTAACTAAATATGAACCTTAAAAATATCTTATGGATCTATTATGCAGTATAATTATCAAAAATACATCTGAATATTTTCAAATTTCTGAATACTAAAAGTAAAAAGAAATTATTATGTCTCTATATTATTTCATGGATAATTGAATTTTGCTGTAGCTTGTCATAGATACTAAATACACACACACACACATATATATATTTCAAACACGAAAGAGTCAGGAAGCAATACTGAAAAGCTTTTTTGTCATGATTCTTACTTGAGAAAAAGATGAAACACTTAAGCATTTATTACCGCATTTGACGGCATGTAAGA